CCTACCCTGGAACAAGTAATCAATACTTGTTAAATGAATTTATGTATGAATGAATGAGTGTGGGAATGAATTAATGTGTGAATAAATGAATAAAAGCCAGAGACATCCTGGGTAATAGGTGCCTGCTAGAGAGAAGATTAAAAAACAAGGAGAACCAGAAAGGGTCTAAGAATCCTTCCTGGAGCTTTTCCACAGAAAGGCCTTTTTAGGATTGCCAAATGTTAGCATTACTTACAAGGGGCTTAGTAAATGTGACTCAGCTTATCACATGGAATCCCAGCGTACACATATGGATCCCCAAACATCTCCAATAGCTGGCATTGTCAGGTCCATAGTAAACGTTAGGATATAGGCATGAATAAGATAAGATTTCTCCCTGACAGAACTTAGTCTAGAGGGAGATACAGATGAATAAAATGATTATGTCAGTGCAACATGGTAACTGCCAAAATACATGAATAAACACAGAGCAGAGGAAATGTAGAAGGAAAAATATTGAGTACTTACGGGAATCACAAAAGACTTTATTGAGGAAATAATATCTTGTCTGAGTTTTCAAAGATGAACAGGAGTTTGGGCAGAGAAGTGAATAAATACATTGGAGATGAGGGCAGTGTGAGGACCACATATGAGAGATTAATGTGCAAAACTCTGCAGTTCATTCTATAAAGGCATGGGTAGTATACAGCAGAGTCCCAGCCTTAGCTTTTGAAAGCCGAGATTTGGATCTTGGCTTCCCCCTTCACCAGCTGTGTTCCCCTGGAATGCTTCTGTTGAGCATGGGGCCATCTTAGGAAAGACCTTTAACATTTCTAAGCTCCAGTATTCTTGTATTCAAAATGAGAATAGCCACAGACTATTCCCTAGAGTGATTGAGAGCATCACATTAGTTGTAATAACTTTTTATAAATGAAGTTTTTATTTATTTTGATTAGGATAACATAAATATTTAAGAATAGCTAAATAAATAATAATGAGGCCTTATATTTAGCCAGGATGCTTGATGATTAAATAGGCCACATATATTTTAATGTACTGCAATCTACAATAAAAATAAAAACTAAAATATTCCAAGAGAAAAATCCCTCACCTTTTTTCATCTCTCTAGAGCTGAGAAATTACCTACCTTTCTGTGTTTTGATCTTCAACAGGAAAGTGCTTCAAGGGGTCTAATTCAGGTGCTTCTGAGTCCAAAAGTCTCAACAACTGTAAAAAGATGATGAAATTTCCATTTTAAAAGTGCCATTGTGCCACAAGGGGGTAGGGGTGCTCTGTGTAAGTCTTTGCCATGTGCTCTTTCTAACCTAATCTCTTAACAAAAAAGATTTTAAAAATTTAATAGATATTTAAGTTAATATATATTTTCTATAGCATCTACATTTCCACTATCACTTTTCTTATAATTAACATCTGTCCAGAAATATCAGCAAAGATACCAAAGACCAACATATTTAAGCTCCGACTTTCTGTCTAATATTCAGCAGGATAGTTCTAGAGGGCCAAGAGAGTGACCCTAGGGTTGGAAGATTTGGTTACAAAGGCCACCTTTCATTATACTGAACAGATAGCCACAGGGCAATGTGTATCTTCCACAACTGGATTTTATCACAGCAAGTTCCCTTCGATGTACACCCATTAAAAAGAATTCAATACAAAAAAAAACTGGGTTGTTTTTAATCTTATGTTCATTACTCACTACTTGAACGAAGAAGAAAACAAAATGACTAGATGAAAGAGAAATCGACTAATCCCTTAAAGTATGCATCTTAAAAAAATTGTTCACCGCGTGTGTGCCTATTAAGCAGCATGCTTTTAAAAAAATAACTAGTTGAAGCATGCAGTAGCAGAACTATGACATCATTTCTGGATAAGCTGTCCCTCCTCAGTGCTAAGGTTGTCCAGGACATAAATCCAGGGAGGTACTCTGTGGGGTACAAAAAAACACAGCTGGGACACCGGGAATTCCTTCCAGGATCCAGAGAACAAGTCCGATTATTTACCTCCGGTGTTACAGAGCTAATAGATTCCACCTGCGGCATTCTGGCCACTGACACCCTCTTTTCCTCTGTGCTCCTGAAACACTGAGCACCCAGCACCCACCCTTTCTTTATACTTTCTTCCTCTTCAGCTTGGAATATTAACCCGTCTGTACTCTGGGTTCAGATGATTTAATTTGTTTAGTAGACTTCAGCATGATGTCATTAGGGTTTCATGTCATTCTTTTTTAAGTGCTTAGAGAAGAAAAATAATGTGTGTACATGATGGCTTGAGCAGTGATTCACGTGGTCACAGTATTTTACCCCATCTCTTCAGTGGCGCACAGCCATTCTGGGCCCATGAACAATCTGTCTGTAATAAGTGACAGATTCTGCCTCACATAAAGGAAAGAGCTGGAGGACAGCAGTCCGGACCCAGTACAATAGCAAGGCAGGTGCTCCGATCAGACTCTGCTCTACCAGGAAACGCTTCTGGAATGCATGACCAATTTGGTTTCAGAACAGAATACTCCCTTTAATGGACAGAAAACACTAACCTTTTCTTTCTCCTTTTTCCTTTCCTCATACCCCCACCCTACGGACTCCCCAGTTTCAAAAAGCCCCTTTTTTACTTTAACCCTTTCAAAGGATAAAGGGCCAGGCTTCAGTCTGCACAGACGTATCTGTCTATATGTTGCTCTGCTAACAAACCAGAAAGAGAAGTAAAAATTCATTAGCCAGGAGAACAAAAAATCATCAGCCAGGAGAACAATCTCTGAGCGGGTGCAGAGTGGAATGATGGGTCAATTTTTCTTTTAAATTCTCATTTTTAAGCAACTTCAGAAAGCATACTTGTAGGGAAATGGTTAGAGCACAACATTTCTGGAGATAAGAAGGGCTCTGGAAAGAAAACATATACTATTAAATCTGAAATAGTAACAATCACATTAAAATCACACACATTCTTTCGGAGATCATGTAGCATTTGAGTGAAACCTCACTTTAAGAAATCTGAGTTTTGTCAAGTCTCATGATACTGATTGAATTGGATAGTAAGTAATACTGTTATCACCATTACTAGGAGTGTTGCTTACATGCATGGGAGGCAACACTGGATTGTGTATAATCCAATATACTGGTTTTGTTAAACACACAGCAAAAGCGACTATGGCATGGGAGAAATAATTATCCTATACTTCAATTAAAGTCTACATATGCATACCCTGACTCTATTGATGAAGCAATATTTTATGGTTTCTTTTCCATCCAACAGTATTTGAAATGCAATGATAGAGAGCAACGTATATTAACAGTAATAAGGGTTTCCCCTCTGAGAGTTGTTGTAACTTATCTTTGAAGTTAAGCTCATTTATCATGGGGAGAATAGACCCCAAAAAGTACAGCAGGCGCAGCATCCTGCCTGAGGCAGAGTTAGAGATTTCCAATAGCTGCTGTAAAGAAACATTTTGAAAATGCGTTCACTGCTGCACCAATAAATCTTAAGACAGAAGAGTTTTAATTACAGAGGATGGCAAAGCCAAGACTTTTCAAATGAACCCAAAAGTATGACATGAGAGAGCTTTCCCCTCACTCCCATGCTACCCAACCCTTGATAAATGTATATGTCTTCTTTGCCTGAGAACAATAGTCTGCTTTGTAAGCAGGACTCCTGGAGGATATCTTCATTTGTAACATAGTATCGGGAAAAATGATGGAAGTGAAATATAGTAAGCCAATCTATATGCATGTATGAGGAGCAAAGAATATGGTAGGTGTACCGTGAATTCTTTGGGGGCATATTGCAGATTGTATATACGGGAGAACGTGTTATGCATGTGTATGCAGCTTTCTTGCATGTATATGTGGACATGTGCTCCTGTATGGCTTGATCCTCAATAGTCTGCTTCTTTAAAGGAGAGGAAAAATATTAGTGTTATTTGCATCCTAAGACTAAAAATAAACTCTTATTTTTTTGAAGAAAAAAAATTAGACTAATGAAATTAGAGGTTGTTTAAATCAGAGGCAATTAAAATGCACACATTTCTTTTCCTAGAGTCTGCAATTGTATTCAACGTTTGCAGTACAACGCCTGCCTGTAGGATAAATAATTTAATGGGTTTTGTGATTTGGTACTAAAAGCATAACAAAATCCTACAGCTGTAGCCTCATTTTTTTCCACACTCAAACTGTTCCCTTCTTAAATTGCATATTTTGTACAGTTTTTTTTTTAAGGAACACAAAGTAGGTTCTACATCTTTGAGAACCAATTTCCGACATAATAGGTAATTGCACATAATTACAGGAGTTTCAGAAACTGAAACAAGAAAACAAAACAAAACAAAATCTCTTTCTACCCTAGTTCCCCTTTCGTCTTAAAGACTGAGATTAAATCATTATATGATTTTGTTCAGTTATGCCCTTTATTACAACAAATGATATACACTGAGAATAACAAAAAGTGAAAACTACCCTAAATGCTTTTGTTTCCTAGTCATTCAGTATTACATTAATTATTTAGATTAATTATTAATTAAATAAACATGAGGATAAGTTTTTATAAATTGCCTTCATTATTTACATTTTTATTACATGTGCCACACTACAAGGGACTATGGTCAGCTTAAGGCTTTGCAGTCAATGTGGGCTGCACTTTGAATCCACACTCTTCAAAGGGCATCCCAATATTCATTAACTCTCCTACACTTAGAATGATGCTACTGACCAAAAGAATGTCCAGCTGCCCTGGTCCAAAAAAGAGAACATCAAACTTCTAAAAGAGGCAATGAGAGAAAACTATAATAGTGAATGAATGGTTACCGTCTCTTCTCATCTTTTTCTATTTCTTTGAGGTTGTTGGGATTGAAGTGGCCTTGGGACTTACGGCAGAGGTAAGGTCTTGCTCCAAGGCCTTTGTGGGAATGAGTTTCACAGCTGGAAATCAGAGCTGCTGGGTTTCCTAACTGCTTATGGTAGGCTGGGGGCTTCTTTTTCTCTCTGTAGATTGTAGGTCAGGGGTTGAAAGACTTTTTAAAACTACCCACCATCCTTTCCTACCTCTCCAACTAAAAAATAAATGCTTCCTTTTCAGTGAGTAGGCAAAATGAACTGGGTTGTCTTTCAGCTAGTGTGGTAGTTGTGAGGGCCACCAAGTGGCTTACAAACTGGCCATTTCTCAGATTCCAGGAGGGGGAAGTGGGGAGGAGATTTAGTCTTACAACCTACAGAATGAGCTGATTGTTATTTAAAGGGAACACTTTTTTTGTGCCTAACTCCAAGTTATTTCTTTTTCTCTTATAACACTACAGTAACACTCAATGACATAAAATGAATAAAGTATAAACCAGAAGTATGGTGATAATTTTCCCTAAGCCACAGGCTTAAAAATTAAAGTAAGTGTCTAAATCAAATGTATATGAAGAAAAATGCATTAGGGAATTCCAGTTATTCTTTCTTTCAGCAAAGTCAGGGAGCATTGTGGATACTGGCAATTAAATATTCATCTCTTTATGTGGGATTAGAAGTGAATAAATAGGTCTGAAGCCTTGATCATAAAGACAAAGTTTAGGTATTATTGTCCCCAACAATATAATTTCACAGTAAAAAATAACAAGAATAAAAACAAAAACCATGAATAGCAAAGGGGTTAGTATTTCCGGAACAAACAGCTTGCAATTTCAAAATGCAAGTAGAAAGAGATCAAATATCATTATTGCCATTTTGCAGATCCAAATGATAGCACAGATTGGAGCAGGTCAGAGCTGAGGTAGCAAGATAATTCTGGAAAGACGTAGTTTGGGGTAAGAACACTGCCTTACACTTGAAGAATTTGGAATAACTTCCTTAAATAGATGACATTGGAAGTATCTCCGAACCTCATTCTCTTCATCTGGAAAACAGGAAGAATAAGACTATCTGAAAGCAGGGACACATAATATCTTTAGAATTTGTCACATCCTGCTTTGGCGTTGGTACCTCTGTATTCCATATTATGTATTCCATAATATCTAATAAACAGCCAAATGGAGGATTAACTCTCTTCAGGTTGCCAATCATTTTTTAGATCTAAGATCTTCTGTTACTCTAAGAAATGCATAAATAAGATAAACAATTTTGTCTTGCATATGATCTTACAATTGCTTTTTGCCTAATTATTCTCCCAAAGTATCACAGCCTATACCCTGCCCACAAATTATTAAATTATTGAATGGTGTATAGTTGTCTACAACTACATTTTTCCTTATATTCCATACATGTGTTACATAATTTATAAACTTACTAAATGCATGTTAAACTGAAATTAATAGTGAACCTTAACTCAAGGTCAGCAAACTAGCCCAAGATGGCCTACCACCTATTTTTGCCAATAAAGTTTTATTGAAACACAAGCACATCCATGGCTAACATATTGTCTATGACTGTTTTTGTGCTATAGTGGCAGAGCTGAGTGGTTGCAACAGAGATCTGATGGCCTGCAAACATTAAAATATTTAGTATCTGGCCCATTAGAGAAAACATTTGTCAACTCCTAACTTAATGGATGACCTCTTTCCTCTACTCACACATTATTAACTCACAAACTGTGAGTTCTGATCTTACACTTCTGATCAGAGAATTAAGATCAATTGTAGTAATAGTAATGTGATTAACAGGAGTTATCATAGTGTCCTTGCATAGATCCTTACCTAAAAGTGATATTCCTCTGGCCTTTCAAGTAATATATACTCTTTTCACACTCTCCTTAGCTTTCAGGAAAAATCTAATTGTCTCATATTTAATTCTGTGACATAGTAAGTTGTGTAATGAGATACTGGTATATAAACTATTATAAGATCTATAACAAATATTTGTCTTTATGACATCTTAGCCTAAATATGGATAACTCTGGAAGATGTAAAGAAAGGTTAGTTTGGGGAAGACAAGTAAAGGAATTAATAATATGTGCATATATATCGTATGTTACTAGAATCATGTTTCCTTTCATCATAATGAAATAATCATTTTTTTCTCCAAATGATGTTTATTGTTCTTAGACTTTTGGACAGTGATAAAGAAAATTTAAAATGGAGTGTTAAACTGCTTATGATTGTATTTCTTACTCTATAAAGGCATTTATGGTACATTTTTTTTTTTTTTGCAGATTGTGCTTTATATATCATAGGCAAAACATGTATACATCTTTGGTGAAAACACATAAGCTATGTTTATGCTACATGGAATACAGTTATGTATTAATATTTTAGTTGGTGTCCCACAAAAGCTTTTGTCTGTAATATACAGTGTGAACCCATCCAATGAAGTTGTTAAGTTAGAAAAGAAGTAGGTGGCCAACATTCCAGAATCCTCCTCAAGATTCCACAAACACAATCAATACCTGGGACTACCGAGAGCAAACCTGTCTGAATTTACATAAGGAAGTTGATATAGTAACAAACAAACAAAAAACAATAAAACAAAAAGTAAAACAAAACAAGACAAAAAACCCAAATCATTTTAGCATGGTTTCTGAATGGAGAGGTTATATACATGAGATTAAAAATCATGTATTCAGATGCTAATCTTCCATCCTGGCTTCATCCCTTAGACCATCAGTGACTTTTTACAAACTACTTAATACACTTGTTCCTTAGTTTCCTCGTCTTTATGGAAGGCTTCTTCCATGTAATTGGAGAAAAATAACAGGCAATATTATTAGTTTCATTAGCAAACTAATGAAGATACTAATAGTGCCTCCTGATAATATTGTCTTTTTTTCTTCTTCAGACCAAACTACTTTAGTAGTGGGTTTACATTTTTATATAAAACAGTGTATATGTACGAACATGTGGCTAACTTCAGTTTTCTTTTCATAATTATTATTTTTAGTTTAGATTCCAGGGGTACATGTGCTTGTTTGTTACATGGGTATATTGCATAATGGTGGGGGTTGGGCTTTTGGGATCCTCATCACCTGAATATTGAATATTAAACTCCATGAGTAATTTTCCATCCCTCATCCCTCTTCTTCCCTCACTGCTTTTGAAGTCCCTAGAGTCTTTTATCCCCAACTTTATGTCCATATATACCAATTGTTTAGCTCCCATTTAAAAGTTAAAACATATGATACTTGATTTTCCTTTCTGAGTTAGTTTGCTTAGCATAATGGCCTTCAATGTTGCTGCAAAAGACAAAATTCCATTCTTGTTTATGACTGCATAGTATTCCATGGTGTTTATATACCCAATTTCTTTATCCAATCAACTGTTGACTGACACGTAGGTTGGTTCCATGACTTTTCTATTGTGAACATTGCCGCAGGTTGGTTGCAGAAGTTTAGGCCTATAATCTCAACACTTTGGAAGGCCAAGGCAGGTGGATTGCTTGTGCTCAGGAATTTAAGATCAACTTGGACAACATGGTGAAACCCCATCTCTACAAAAAATACAAAAATTGGCTGGTCATGATGGCGCACATGTAGTCCCAGCTACTCAGGAGGCTGAGATGGGAGGATCACGTGAGCCCTGGAGGCGGAGCTTGCAGTGAGTCGAGATTGTGCCTCTGCACTCCAGCCTGGGTGACAGAACAAGACGCTGTCTCAGAAAAAAAATATATAGTGCTGCAATGAACACAATGAACATACAAGTACCGGTGTATTTTTATGTAATGATTATTTTTTTAGTAGGTATTCAATAGTGGGATTGCTGGGCCAAATGGTAATTCTATTTTTAGTTCTTTGAGGTCTCTCCATACTGTTTTTCATAGGGGTTAAACTAATTTATATTCCCACCAGCAGTGTATAAGTATTGCCTGTTCTCCACATTCATGCCAACATCTGTTATTTTGGATTCTTAGTAACAGCCATTATGACTGGTGAGAGATGATCTCAATGTGGTTTTAATTTGCATTTATCTGATGATTACTGATGTTCAGCATTTTTAAAATAAGGTTCTTGTCTAAATGTAGGTCTTCTTTTGAGAAATGTATGTTCAAGTCCTTTGCTCAGTTTTTAAAGAGGTTGTTTGTCTTTTTCTTGTTGAGTTGTGTGAGTTCCTTACAGATTCTGGATATTAGTCCTTTGTCAGATGAATAATCTGCAAATATTTCCTCCAATTCCATAGGATGTTTGTTAATTCTATTGGCTATTTTTTTCTGTGTAAAATATTTTTAGTTTAATTAAATCACATTTGTCTTTTTGTTTGTTTGGTTTTGTTGCATTTGCTTTTGGGTCTTTGTTATAAATTGTTTGCCTAGACCAATGTCCAGAAGGGTTTATTCTGTTTTCTTCTATGATTTTCAAAGTTTTGCATCTTATGTTTAGATCTTTAATTCATCTTGAATTAATTTCTGAATATAGTGAGAGATAGGGGTGCAGTTTTATTTTTCTGCATTTGACTAGCTGATTTTTCATGCACCATTTATTGAATATGGTGTCCTTTCTCCATTTTTTTTGTTGTTGACTTTATCAAATATCAGTTGGTGTAGATATATGGCTTTATTTCCAAGTTCTCTATTCTGTTTCATTGATCTATGTGTCTATTTTTGTACCAGGACTATGCTGTTTTAGTTACTACAGCTTTGTAGTATAATTTGAAATGAGGCAATGTAATGCCTCTGAGTCTGCTCTTTTTGCTTAAACGTGCTTTGGTTATTTGGGCTTTTTCGTGGTTCCATGTAAACTTTAGGAGTGTTTTTTCCAATTCTGTAGAAAACGACGTTTGTAATTTGATAGAAATTGTATTCAATCTCTAGATGGTGACTTTAATGATACTAACAAATGGGTGCTTTTCCATTTGTTTGTGTTGTCTATGATTTTTTTCATCAGTGTTTTGTTTTGTAGTTCTCCTTGTAGAGATCTGTCACATCCTTGGTTAAATGTATTCCTAGGTATTGTGTGTGTGTGTGTGTGTGTGTGTGTGTGTGTGTGTGTATGTGTCTATTGTAAATGAGAGTGAGTTATCAATTTGGTTCTCAGCTTGAACGTTACTGGTATATAGAAATGCTACTGATTTTAGTATGTTATTTTTGTATCCTAATACTTTACTGAAGTTGCCTATCAATTCTAGGAGTCCTCTGGAGGAGTCTTTGGGGTTTTCTGGGTATATATTTATGTCATCAGCAAACAGATAACTTGACATTTTTTCCAATTTGGATGCTTTTTCTTTATTTCTCTTATCTGATTTCACCGGATAGAACTCTCACTAGTATCACTAGCATGTTGAATGGGACTAGTAATGTGGACATCTTTGTCTTGTTCCAATTCTTGGGGGAAACGCTTCCAACTTTTCCCTATTCAGTATGATGTTGGCTGTGGGTTTGTCATATATGGCTCTTACTATTTTGAGGTATGTCCCTTCTTTGCCCCATTTGTTAAGGGTTTCTATCATAAAGGAATGTTGAATCTTCTTGAATGATTTTCTTGCATCTATTGAGATCAACATATGGTTTTTGTTCTTAGTTCTGTTTAGGTGGTGAGTCACATTTATTGTTTGTGTATATTATCTTGAAGGGTATGTGAGTTCATACAAGTTAAGCTCTCAGAACAATGCCTGGCTCAATAGTGGCAATTATTATTTCTGATCCCCTAACGTAGTCTATTCTTTCTGGACCTCATTTAGTTTTTGTAAAACGGCATTTGAGAGAAAATAGTTTATCTAAGATCCCTTACAGTATTAACTTTTAAAACAATTTTGTCGGTGATATGGGAAGAACTGTAAAGAATAAGAGAGGGTATAGGGAAACTGATTTGTCAAGACTGGAGATTACAAAGATAGTAAATATGGTCAGCACATGCACATAGTGTAAATACACACACGTACATACACACCCCACCCTCACATACGCACACATGCATTCACATATGCCCTCCATGTTTGGCACCAAAATTTATCATTTACAAAGGAAACCTTAGTGTGATGGTCATGAAACACCAG